GGGTGGGTGAGCGTGGCGGCTGCTGCTGTGTGAGCAAAGCTAACCTGGGCCTGGGAGCTGGCCTTCCGTCCTCGGTGGGAATCGATTCTGGCACCAGGGACGTTACTGTAACTGTAGCTTCTGCTTGCCTCTGATAGGGCATAGCCTTCTCTTGGGGGGGAAACGGCTGAATCCCTGCAAGGGGGGAAGTCGGGTTTCCCCCATTTTCCTCCGCAAGCGAATGCTTCAGATGGTCCTCAGGGTGGCCGTGTCGTGATTTAGTTAGATAGTGATTTAGTGATGCTGAATGCCTCCCCCCGCTACACACACACGCTCCCCTGTACAGGACCTGAATGTTGCGAGGCAGACCGGATGGTGAACAAGATGTGTTCCTCTTTGTTGATGTAGTTGATAGCCACTTAACCATGCCTCTGATCTGTGCAAGAGCTTTTTACACTTTAGTGTGCTTTATTTCACTCACAATGGAATTTAAATCTTCGTCATTGTATTATTTCTCGGAATACATATCTACTGTTTCTAAAAGCTTTGTGTCTCTTATTTTTACAGATTCCTTAGATGCTTGCTTTGAAGGGCTTTATTTTCATAGACTGTTAGTATAAGACATGTTTATATGTATTTTGCTACAGAGATCTGTGCTCTGAGGAATGAAATCTGTCCTGCTACCTTAAATACTTACTTTGAATTTGTTGAAGGAAAAGGCGTGTTTTCTGCCTCAGTACTCTTACATAAAATTAAACATAACAGATGCCAGTTTATTCAGGATTGAAGACCATTTAGAAGACTTAAAGCATGGCTGCTACCACATCCTAACCAAGATCTCTGTGCAACTGATATGGCACAGAACTGAGCATTTTCACAATGAGCTTTCTGTAAGGCTGAGAAGATGTTACAAAGTGCTGTAGTGACCCTTGGTTCAATGTAAGCCAAGAAAATTGCAAAAACATGTTTGAGTTGAGTTTTTTGGAAATGCAGAGAGCAATGGTAAAGTAAAAGCCATATCAAGAATGTGGTTTCTAGGCTCCCCTCTCTTCCTTCCATTTGAAGGTAATAAGAACTATGAATAATAAATGTTTGTGGTGATAAAAAGTATGTATATAGCTGTCTGTGGTACTTAAATATGGGGAAGAAAACGTATGTTTAAATAAAAACTGAGCAAGGTAGGCAAAGCTATATATTGTTTTGCTGGGTGCATTGGGTTTCTATTGTAAAGGAACAGACAACTTTAAGAACTTAAATCATTGCTTCTGATGTTTCAAACAAAACCTAGTAAAGTGAGGGTATCGGTTACAAATTTTGAATGTTGCATTACCAGTCACTTGCAATTCTCTGTTATGTAATCTTGTAATTACAGGGTGGGGGAACGCATGACACACGACAACACGTACACCAAAACCCAAATGTTATGTATCTTGGAGTTAGTTTTCTTTTTGTACTATTAGTAGCAACTTGGAATACAATGACAATGTTGCTTCTCTTCCCTTATTGAGTTATACTTGTTTTCTGCAGGACAGATTAGGCCCAAGGTGGCCTAATGGGTTAGTTATTGATTAACTATTTTCTCAACATGGTCAGCACTTTGAATTTCAGGTATAAATGACTAAGAGTTTGCATTCATCTCTGGTAACTAGTTGGGTATGATTCCAATCCTCTTCCGTTTGAGGAGGGGCTGGATTTCATGTTCTGCAAATGTAAGTAGAAAAGAGGTGGGGCAGAGAAATAAAAGCACAAGTTGTAACATTGAAATGTGGGCTTTTATAACTGTAACAACTGTGCAGTAATCTTGGATAAGCATTTTTTTTTTAAATGATGTAGGTGAGCATCAGTAGATGCTGAAGAAATTGCTTATTTTCTAATATATAACAGATAAGCAGATGTCTTGCTGTGAGACAGTAGAATCATAACAATTTAAGTACAGATGCTAAATGTGAGAGTTCAGAACAGTTTTCTAGACTGTTCTGTTGAGTTTAATCCTCCTTGAATCAGCAATCTTAGATGCATCAGCTGAAGGGAAAAAAAAATCCACTTAAAATTAAAAATTTGTTGTATTGATTTTTAAGAAAAATAGGATTTAGTCAATTCAAAAAGGTATGGTGAGATTCCAGAGCAGTCTTAATATCCTTACTGATTTGGGGACCTTACCTGGAAATGGTCCCCTTGTAAAATAAAAAGTGCAAAACATACCGCAGAAAACCCTTCTTTTCTTTCACTGTAGTCTAGGGTGTTACCTGTAACAGGATAGGCACAGATAGCTAGAAATGATAGTTCTTTTCCTGACAATACCCCTTATCTGTCTTATCTGAGAGACTGTTCTTTGAACCACCCTTTCCATTGTACTTTGTGCAATACATGCTTTTCCTGACAGTATGTAGTTGGTAATTCTATCAGCTTTTGAGTAATGTTAATTGAATTTTTTGTTTTAGGGTAAAATCTTTGGAATATCTTTTCATGCGTTACCGCAATCACTTGTGCCAGAATATGGTCATATTCCAAGGTAAATTAACACTTGATACTTAGATTTATGCTTACGTTGCTCTCTTTATAGTATTGAACTCTTGTTAGAAGAGTTAATGTGTTTTTCCAAGCCTGCTAAAGCTTTTGGGAGATGTAAGAATAGTTATAGTTTCAGTTGGAGAAGAAGGGATGCAGAAGTTATATGGGAATTCAGAGCCACACGTATCATTCAGTTGTATTTCTTTATACTACTTGTCCTTGGGGATATATGTTTTATGTATTTATCATTTAATAGCTTTTCTGGAAAAATGTAAACCTTATTCTGAATGTCAGAACTATGTTACTATGTTACTGTTCTTTCCTCAGCTTTCTTGTTGATTCTTGTAAATATTTGGAAGAACATGTTCAGACCGAGGGACTCTTCAGAAAGTCTGGATCTCTTGTTCGTTTAAAAGCTTTAAAGGTACTCTCTAAATACTTTTTTATTTTAATAATAAAAAAAAAATCTGCATTTCACTTGGTCATCTGCATGTTTTAGTTTTTGGACTCCTTTCAGTCAGATTTGAGCTTTAGTATTGGACGTAGACAGGTAACATTACTTGCTTTTAGAAACGAGAAGAGCTCTGGTCCAGAAACTGGCAAACTCACTTTTTCCCTTTTCAGTTTTGTTGTTTTGTTTCCTTCCCCGCCCCGGAATTTTTTCAGCTTTCTAGAAGGTGAGAGTACACTTGTGACTGAAAAACCTTGTTGGCAGTTATGCATACTGGATACCATAAGGATATTTGTTTGGCAGTGTTCTTCCAGAAGGATGGGCACGTGAAATACATAAATTAACACGTGGTCTGACAGCATTATGTGTCTCTTTGTAGATACTGTAGTTAAGTAAAACATGACAAGGCTGAAACTACAAAATGGGGAAGATGTGAATGTCTTCTCTGATATGGGCTAGAGGATTATTGCCTGAATTTAGGAATCTTGATGGTATATTGAAGACTTCAAATTGCCTTTCTTATGAACAATTTCAGAGTAAACTGGATCAAGGTGAAAACTGCCTCTCAGCTGCACTACCATGTGATGTTGCAGGACTTCTTAAACAGTTCTTTAGAGAGCTGCCAGAACCCATCCTTCCACCTCACCTGCAGGAAGGCCTTTTCAAAGCTCAGCAGCTAGGAAATGAGAAGAAAACTGCAACTGTGTTGCTGTCATGTTTGATGGCTGACAGAACAATTGAAGCTTTGAGATACTTTTTCAACTTTCTGAGAGCTGTGTCTCTAAGGTCAGTGTAAAAAGAGTCCTTGCAGAGATCTCTCAGTTCTTTTAATGACTTCTGTTTCCAGGCAATTGCTATAACTTTCTGTGAGTGGTTTATGACTTTATCTGCATTCTCTAGAATTCAGTCATGGGGGTTTTTTTTCATAAATCCAAAGTGTTACCTTAATGAAACTGTATTTTCCTGGAGACTAGGCTTTGTTCCATTCTTCCATAGATGTATTCCTCATACTTCTTTGGAAAGCAAATGGAGTGACTGATAAAATTAGCATAGAATAGAATAGTTAGGGTTGGAAAGGACCTTAAGATCATCTAGTT